TTCAATTTCAATACAAAGGGAAGTGAGATCATGTGTACCTCACAAGTGACTTGTGTTCCATCATGACCTCAAATCCAACATGTTGAAAGCCAAGTATGCAATTTCTCCCTTAAATTATTTCTTTTCAAATAGGTGCTATTTATGGAGCATCAAGCACATTACACAATTTATTTTTTAACCTCAAAATAAGCCTACAGGGTAATTGTTTTCTTACTAACAGATGAGGACATACATGGATAGGGAAGTGAAATAACTTCCCCCAAAAGGTGCCATAGGTAATTCTTAACCATTATTACACTCTTCCTTTTAGTGTGTTGCCGGGAGTATTATCTATAATCACTTGTCCCATATTCCTTTGAGAGTTTCCTTGTGTCTATCTATTCTAACTGCCAAAGTTTCTAGTATAGATCTTTAAAATGTAGATTTTTGTAGAATATTCCTGACTGACTTCTTTTATTTTTTATATTTAAGTGACTTGTAACATGGTATAAAACTATACCTTACTGTAAATATCTAAATTACAAAGAATGCAAAAAAGTAAAAGTCCTTTGTCATCATTTCATCATCTCTCACTAAGATCCAGAGAAATAAGTACGTATAATTTTTAGTTTGTTGGTTTTTAAAATAGAAGTAAAACTAGGATGTCCTATTACCCTGCACATAACCCTTTTTTATTGAACAGCGTGTCTTGTAGATATTTCTGTGTCAGTGCTATGGAATTTATGCACCATAGATGGTGGGTGAATGTTTGCAAAATAAACCAAATCTTAGACTTCAGTCACATACTCCTCACTCTGTTTTCATCTAATTAAGTGTTTCTGCAAGGTTGTAGATTATTTGGGTCTCTCCTTTTTGGTTCTTAAACAAGATCTATTTCATAGCACATATGGCATAGCAATAATGATCATTTTCACTAAAATATCAATAACCAATATCAATAAGGATTTGTGTATGTGAGCATGTATTCTATCATTTTACTGGATAAATTTTTACATGTAAGTGCCAAACTGTAACTTATTCTCAGCCGTCTTGTGTAAATTTCTAACTTCTTGACTACTTCTGTACATCAGCAGTTCTCAACTTACATAGATTCACCTGGGAATTTATGAAAACCAGGACTGCAGGGCACCTTCCTCAAAGTTCAGAAGTCTCCATGTGATGCTGATGTGATGCTCTTGGTCTGGGAGTTACAACTTTAAACCTCCCAGGACACCCTGGCCTGTTCTTGGCATTCGCTGTTTATAGCACGCAAGAACCATGGCTTTACAAAGGTGCTGGAAATGGCTGTGGTGGACAACCAGACCTGGGATGTGCACACCCTCCCACAATAGGGACAGCAGGGGCTCCGAAGGTGGAAGTGAAGAGAATGACAGTTCTGCCGGAGGCTCAAACCACAGATGAAGGAACAGTTTTCACATGTGCAGAGCCTGGAACGAGCTATTGTTCGCCCATTCGTCCCTAGAGCGGCACGTGCTCTCCTGATTGCGATCTGTGGCAATCGTGTCTTCTTCGAATACGAAGGATGACATTATGATGTCACTACATCCAGAGAGAAAGCAAGTTTTTGTTTACGTTCACTTTCTGATGGGAGCTCAGCCAAGTAAAATTCAAGGTGCTGAGTGAGCGGATGCATCCAATCAAATGTTTACCTCCATTGTATTGTTATCATGAATTCAATACTGGTGTGCTCTGCCTTGTGAAGTCATTATATTAATCTACTACACAAGATACAGAATGGATGAGTCAGAAATGATTTTAAAAAATGATAGTGTTCCTCTCTGTCAAGAGTAAAATTCCTATATCTCTAATCATTTGATTACAAAAACTGCTTGCTTATACAGAAATTGGGCAGAGAAAATACATCATTTGTGTTATCCAAAATACAAATGTAATGTGTGTACATAAAACTTATATAATGGAGTATTTATCTTGAGAATAATGAGTTGTAGGGGATATAATCATACTTCAGCTAGATAAATTATAATTCTTGTATAGTTTTACATGTTTACATTTTGATCAAACATCTTATTATTTATGCATACTCAATGTACTTGGAATCGGGAAGATGCATGGAATTGATCAGTATATTTGATTGCTGTTGCTTCTTTGCTTGAAATATTTGCATAAATAAGCCTTGCCATTTCTGGATATGAAGTCTAAAAAAATGCCTGTGTATTTTAGCTATTCACTTACCTTTCATTAAGCATGCATGCACCCATAAAAATATATAGTGTTTTTAAATGTTTGCATAACTTGATATGAATGTCATTATAGTGTACTTCTTTTTGCCTTTCAACAAGTTATTTTTAACTGATGCATAGTATTCCATTTGATCTATAAATAAATGTATCTATTTTCCTATTATGGACATTTAAGTCATTTTCAAACTTTTAATGCTACAATTATTCAGTGAATGTTCTTGTAGCATATACAGTCTATACTTTATGTTCTTGTAACATATACAGCATATACTTTAACATACAGTCTAAAAATGAAATTGAATCATATACAAATATTCACCTTTACTAGAAATTGACAAATTGGTCTCTGAATTACTTATGCCTAATTATATTGCCACTAGCATTGTAGGTTCTTCTTTCACAGTTTCCTAATAACTAATTGGGAATTTTTAATTTTTAGGATTGAGTTTTTAATTTTGTCAGCCTGAAGAGTGTTAAATTGTATTTTATTGTTTTTACACTTAACATACCTAATACTCTTGATTATCGACACAGAGAGAAGCTGTGTTTTCTTTCTTGTTTTAAAAATTAGTTATTGGGTTTTCCTCTTCTGTGAACTGTCCAATTATGTCCTATGCCAGTTTTTGCAGTGTGTTGTCTTTTTCTTATTGATTAGAGAGGTCTTTCTATAATCTGAATATTCATCTTATTTTTGGTTATGTACTTTGAAAATATTTTCTCCAGGTCTGTGGCTTGTATTTTAATTTTATTTCATGGTAATATTGTTGTTGCAGAAGTTTTTAATTATGGTGTAATAAATATTATCAATCTTTTCCCTTAAGATTTGTATGTTTTTTTCTTTTTGTCTTTTCTAAGAGAGCTTTCTTAGTCCAATATTGTCAGAACTTTAAAAGTTTGCATTTTTCATTAGGTTTTTAATCTATATAGAATTGTTGCATATACTGTAGGTAGCATGAATTTATGGATTATTGCAGATTTTTAATAGTACCAGAACCATTTATTGAATAATTAATCCTTTCATCACTAATTTATAAGCTTGGGTCTGTTTGAGTTTTTTTGTCATGTTCCAATATTCTGTTGACCTATTTTGCAGGGGTAGAAAACATGCATTTCTATTTTCCCGTGAGTTCCTTACATGATCGTTCTCGGAATGCTTCCAGGCCTTTCAGAATTTCAATTGGACAAACAATAGTCTACGGGCATAAATTTGACCCCGAGGTTAACCAAGGTAGTAGTCATTAGTATAGCCAACCAACTCTTTCTAGTTCTCTGACTTACAGAAAATAGTGGGATTGCACTTTCATTTCATATTTCTTGTATTTAAGCATGACCAGAGATTGGACTTCCTTGTCAGTGAGTTCATTCCTGAATAGAAGCTTCAAGTAGAAGCTCCAGGAACCAGGCAGTGATTTGCCACATTTTCTAACCCTGCCCTGGCAATCATGGGCGTGTGGAAATGCAAAGTGTTTGTAAACATAGACGTGGATATGGAGCCGAGCCCCGATGACATGTAGTTGAGTGTAAAACAAATCTTCGTTGTCTTAAACCACTGAGAGTTTTAGAGTTATTGCTACTCCAGCATAACCTGGCATATCCTCACTGAAACAGTTACTATGTAATTTGCAATTTGATAATTGGGGAAGTGGTAAAGAAACAGCATGCATTTGTTAGATGGTAGTATTTATATTTAATTTTTTTTATTTTTAATTCCTCTCCCCTCCTTCCAACTGCATCACTCACATTTCTCAATACTTAAGACCTACCAAACCAATTGGAACAATTTTTTGATGGCCTGTATTCCTCTTCTAGCCTGCAATTTCTCACCCAGCTTGTATTTCTTCCTTCAAGTCAGCATTTCTTTTCTTGAGGAGTTTACATTTTTAAAGATGAAAGATCATTGTTTTACCTAAGAACTTTACTGAGAAACGTCAGCATTATGACCCTGCAGTGGGGGCTTGTTAGTGAAAGGGCGCTTTCTCAGCTCCCCCTTATTTATTACATGGGTGCCTACTGACTCCATATGCACTTTAGACTGGCTCTGGCATTAAAATTCATAGTCATTTGTTGGTGTTGCTTAATCCCATAGTTCTCAAAACTATGTGTTCAGTATCTGACTCATATTTCTGGAATGTTTCCTTATTACCTGAAAGGATAAGAGGGTAAAGATAAGAATCAGAGGTGTCACTAAGAAAATACTTCCTTGGAAAAAGTAGTTTTTTTCACATAATATCTCCATGCATGAGAGTTTCCTGTATGTTAATAAGTTCCCCCTAAATATGCAAAGTAATATCACATTATGGTGGGGGGAGGAAATAAATGAATTAATATCCAGAGTACTACATTTTTAATTGTTCATGCTTTAAGGTAAAATATATGAATCCTTTGATTGGAATGTTTGCCTTCTAACACCCAGGAGGGGTTAGGTGAGGTAGGGGGCAGCTGGATGTTGGTGAGTAACTTTAAAGCAATGAAATGCAGTACGTTTATGTGTCGGACTCATCCAGAGGCTCTTATTTGATGGAAGGGCTTAGGACCTTTCAGAGACGATGCAGGTGTGAGGAGGATGTGGGAGCCAGCAAGCAACCAAACTTCCTGTCTGCATTTTTTTTAAAGACTCCTCTGTGGGGGTTACTAACATCCTGAAAAATCATACTAAGTATCAAAAGCGTTTATACCTATAGTCGTTTCACTAAAGCATATCAAACATTTCTATGTTAGAATACTTTCTTGTCACACTTCCTGTTTCTTGAAAAATGAATGTTGATTGGTTAATTAAAGTTTATGTCTCCCTCTTTTTAGGTGGTTCTTCGGAGCAATCAAGAGAGCAGATGCAGAAAAACAACTATTATATTCAGAAAACCAGACAGGTGCCTTTCTAATCAGAGAAAGTGAAAGCCAGAAAGGAGATTTCTCCCTTTCAGGTATGGGCATTGTTTTGTATGGTTTAATTATGGGTTTGATTTCTATAGTCATGAACCTACTGTGTGAATATGGACATGTTAATTTTAAACTTGCCTTTTTTTCTTATTTTTCACAGTAGTCCCAAATTATATCTATTGAGCTATTCCAGAGTGATATAAAAATTAGCAAGAGATTTATATCTATGGCTAGAAATCTCTATAAACAGTTTCAAATAACATGTACTCTAGATTTGAAATAAAAAACATATGGCTCTGGCTGCATTTTTCTCACTTGCATTATCAAGGATCTCATCCTTCAAGGGAAATAATAAGGAAGAAGCAAAGACTACACTGTTGTCAAAATTGGTCTTGCCATAGTACATTTTTGTTTTGCATTTCATTTGTCTTTGTCTGGTACATAGAAAATGAATTGAAATGCACAATGCATATGCATTTAATTAACTCCATGACTTATAACATTTTGTCAAATGTAGTTTTTCAGCTAAGAGTCAAGGACATGTTTAATTTACAGTGCTCTAGGAAAGAAGCACAGAGGGCCTGACAATTATCTCTAAGAGAGACAGGTACATGCATATCTCTGCTTTCAAGAATCTGTGCTTCTTGGTGTGTGTTCCAGTGTTGCAGAATGTCCTTTCTTAAGGATGGCTCCAGTCCCTCTCTCCTGTGAGACTTTCTCCTTGCCCTTCTCTGACCTCTGTAACATCCCCTTTAAAGCATGTATTTTGTTTTACCAATTAGATGTGTGCCTTTTGGGAGAAGAGATTTTTGCCTTCCTTTATCCCTGTTGCCCTGCAACAGAAGTTTATTGAACACGATGCCCACACACCTCGTTGTGTCTGCCTGGCTCACTGAGCCGGAAGTGAGAACAGCGTGTGCAGCACAGTATGGAACCTGAGCCCACTTGTACTGGGATCTTTGATCTGGCCTGAAGCAAGGCCAGATGGTGTGTTTGGTACCCATTTTCTTCCGCACCTGACGGTCCCAAATATCAGGGCAGGTAGATGGGAGCTGAAGTGCATTAAGGGCAGTGGTATTGAGGCAGGTCTTGCAGGTTTTGTCCTTCATTTCCTGCTTATTCTGACACTGAGTCAATATGGTATTACAGAATCTTGTGGACGTAGCTCTACCCCTACCCGGTTAGAAAATGCTGTTATCTAATTACCACTCCTGAAACATTCCTAGTTATGATGTGACACTGACCTTGATAATTTTGGTTATACCCAGGTGATAAAAATTTTAATGGCTCATATATATGATGGGCATTAGGTACTCAGAACTGACCCAAACAGGCTGGGCCTTCACACTGGTCCACATTTGTATACATCCAGGTGACATAAGTGAACATTCTGTTATGTGTAATAGATTTTTTTCTGACTATGAAAGTAATATAAACACTTTTATAGAAACAGAGGCTCAAAGAAGAATAATTTACAATATAACTTTCTGAAGACACATTTTTAATACTAAAATGCCTTTCTGGCAAGGTTTTTTGTATATTTCTTTAAGTATATTAATATAAACACACACACAGAAAAAACACACACAGAGAAAACAAAATTGAGATAATACTATAAATAAAAATATAAATAGATGTGTATGTGCATACGAGTGAGGGGGGACCCAAAAAACTCTGAAATTTATCTATAAAAACCTTGTATTTATTCTTACATGATTTAACTTCATTCACCTTCAAAGTACTCTCTATTTGATGCAGTATACCTATCGAGACTTTTTTTCCCCACTCCTGAGAATAGTTTTTGAACTTGTTGATTTTGATGCCTTTGAGTGCTTGTACCCTTTTTTTTTTGGTTTCACCTCTTCCACATCAGCAAAACATTTCCCTTTCAGGATTTTTTTCAGCCAGGGAGACAAAAAAAAGTCACTTGGGATGAGATCAGGTGAACATGGAGTGTGGGGTGCAGGGTTCATGCTAGTTTTGGTCAACAAACTGCTGAACACTCACCATGCTATGGGCAGGCACGCTCATAAATTGCCCATCATGAAATGGGTAAATGCTTTGAAAGAGTCTTAAAAATTTTTTTTCACTGAAGCCGAATGCAGCCTCTCACAACAATGCCAGCTGGAACACTGATACAGATGGGTTCTTAGAACACTCACCAAGCAGGGGAAGCCTGTACTAACTACAAGGGACTCACTCTCCAGAAGATAATTCTGTTTTTATTTTTAGTCCCCCCTCGTATAGATACACGTGTGTGTATTCACATGCATGTGCATATCTATATGCATTGGTATGTATGTGTGTGTATGTATGTGACATGGATCTAGCTTTCATTTTTCTTGTGTCTCAGTGTGCTGCAAACATTTTTCACATTATTTAATATTTTTATAACATTATTTTTAGAAGTCACATTACTTTCCATAGTGGGGGGGTTATTATTTATTTAACCTTTTCCATATTTTATACATTTTCACTATTTTCAGTTATATTGCTGTCATAAAATGTGATGCAGTGCATATCCTTGTAGATAAGTATTTGAAGAGTTAAAGATTTCCATGAGAATACTATATTTAGAAAAAGAAAAAGAAATTGTTTTGAAATTTCTATGTCTAATGATAAGAAGAGCCGCAAGGGAATTCCTTGTAGAGGTTAATGCATCCACATTTGTTTATTTGCCATTGCCAGTACTTACATGTCAAATTAGGTAGTCATTATCTAGCCAAAAGCTAGATTAAATCTTTTAGATTAGCATTAAAGTATAGAATAATAACATTTCCATGAGGAAAACAAACTAAAAGTGAAATTAGCTGAGTCATATCTTTGAGTAATACTCAAGCTACAGCTGACTATTCTGAAAACTATTCTGAATGCTATGGGACAAAACAGCTTTATAGGCTCAGAGCAAATTACAATGATGTTGGCTGTTATGTGCTGAAAATACTCTAGCACTTGCTTACGGATTTAGTAAGCTTTGTAGGCCCTACTTGGAGATCAGCATATCATTACAGATTCTTTTTCAGTAAGTCACACAATTTAGAGTCTTTCAAACAAATTATCTGATTGCTGTATATTCACAGGGGGACAAAGTAAATGCAGACCATTATGCTCTACTGAAAGGAAAATTCTCTTATTAGCCAGAAGGAGGGCTGTACAGGAGGAAAATGAAAAGAAAATGGCCCTCAGTATATCCACATTAAAATAAACAAACAAACAATCCAACCGCTGACTGTCGATGACCACTGAGGATCTTCAGATAGACTACTCATGGATTTATTTCGTGGTGCAGTTTTCTCCTTAATCAGTCAGATTGATTGATGGTCTTCAGTTTTGCTGACTGCTGTGCTGCTCAGGACAGGCAAATAATATCTCCTTTCTATCTCTGCCTTTTTCCCACGTGATTTTTCTTAGAAGTATTGTCTTTATTCCTTGGGCGGCTGTGGCTTGCAGCAGTCAGAAACAAGCTTATGATTTACTGAGGCGGGGTGGGTGGGGAGGGGGCACTCCAGAAGCAGCAGCCCAAAGCTGGGGTGGGTGCTAATTGGCTTATTGTGGGTCCTAGCCTGGCGCTGGGCTCTTGTGAGGTCTGAGTAGATCTTGGAAGAGAGTAAGGGCTGTGACACCTCTCATAATGGCAAGACGCTAATTAGCTGTGAATTACAGCAGTGCTTTTGGATATCACATATATTATATGTGGCAGCTGGAGAATCTGTCTTCATTAGATGCGTGACAGGTAGTTTTAGTGGCCCTACTGTTATTTGTCATTGGTAATGAATTGTTTTTCTGATGAAAAATATAAAATTCTGACTGCATGTGAACTGGTTTGGCTATTTCTTGACTTCAATCAATTCGTTTAAAGAAAATTATTATTGTTTTTATCATTAATACTAATTTGATGTTTGGCACCCTATAAGCAGTTGTACTATTGTTTAAAGTACATTTTAAGGAAAATGCACTTCGAGGACTAAAACCGAGCTGCAGGTGAGTTTTTCAGAAGAGATTCCACATTGCACATTGTAAGTTTACTTTAGACAACTCTGCAGATTCACCTTCAGTGAACCCTCTTGAAAGCAAGTGATCATAGATTGACTCTAATTGAAAAATCACTACATTGAGGACATGAGGCAAAAAAGGCTCATCAGCAATATTCAGTGTGATTCATCTTGGAGTGGAGATCATTTATTTCTATATTTGTTTATTTTTTTCAACAAACACTCAAGGTGCCTACTATGTAGGCACCAGAGGTGCTAGACCTCTGCTAGGTGAAAGACAGCAAAGACAGCAAGACCCCAGGTCCTGAACTCAGTCCTCAGGAGGGCTATATTACAATACAGCTGTCTTGCTGTAAGATAAGAGGGGTCAGGGGGCCAAGTGCCCCAGGGGGAGTCAGGAAGGCTTCACAGAGGAGAGAGCATTTGGGTTCTGTACCAGTTTAGCTGTGTGTGAAGATTAGTCCTGGCAAGGCAAGTGCACAGCATTGCGAACGTGTCTGGTGTTCAGTGGAGCAAAGGGTGGGGGATAGCGTGTGTGTGTGTGTGTTTGTGTGTGTGTGTGTGTGTGTGTGTGTGTGTGTGTGTGTAGACTGCTCAGGGCCTTGCATGTTATGCTAAGGAATTTGGCCCTTACTCTATAGAGGGAAGTCTTAGGCAGAAAGTGACCTGGTCTGACCTTTGTTAGCATGGCGAGAGATTTATAAAGAATAGTCTGAGGAGGAGTGAGAGAGACAAATGCAGTGACATCACTTGCTGCTGTGCGAAATCACAAGTGTGAGACAGCAGAGTTTGTCAGCATTCTGTGGAGAAGGGCAGTGGGACCCGAGCTCCCTGGGCTGCATTAGGGCTGGGCTCCAGCACAGGATGTCCCCAGAAGCCACAGGTCCCTCAGTTGCTCTTCTTTCTTTTATGAGGCAAGTGTGGGCGTGGCCCTAGGACTAGGAATAAAAGTGTTTGCTTTGGTGGTAAGTAGAGTGAGTTTGGACATCAATTAATTGCAGGGTTGTTTGGAAACCCCAGCACCAATGGGCTTGGGTGCTGTGGGAACTTGT